GGTATTTATAGACTGTATCAAATTTTTAAAAAATCTTCATCTTTTATTTTGGAGTGCAAAAAACAGAGCAGTGGCATTTTTTCACAATGAAAAAAATGTTAAATTTTGTATAAAACTTTTCTAGTTAACGTGTCTGTACAACCTGCAGGTTATTCATTATCCTTGGGACTATAATCTAGTTCTCATGTACAGCTCTAAATCTCCTGGTCCATGTCCATGTCCTTGTGGGAAATTTAAAAGGCTTTCTTTATATCCTTATGCAAAGATTTTTTTTGTGTGTGTGTGGTTCTAAGAGAATTTATGCCTACAGGATCCTCTTTGGATGATATAAGAAGCTGCCAGGAGCTTCTCTGGGAGCCTGTTGCATGAATGTATGGATCTTCTCATGTCATGCTATAAAAGCTGTTGACAATGAACAGTTGTTTTACATGTGAAAAAAAAAAAAAAGCTTGGAAGGAGTATTTCAGGGAAACCTTTTATAGACTGAATGTTCTCCCTTAGCTTTTCTAAGCAATGCCAACAGAGTTGAATCTTGTTTTGTTGTTCATTTAGCTTACAAAGTTAGTTAATTTTTTTCCATGCATTTGTTTCCACTGACACCTCCTTTCTCACAAAGACCTAGGAAAACTAACTCATGAGAGTCAAAATAGGACGTGTTGGTGGCATTAGAATCCCTATTTTCATATTCCTGTAACAGATCATAGAGAAAGTACCCACATAGTATTTGGCACCTAGTGAGTATGCCTTCCTAGAAGAATCTTGTGAACATATTTTCCCGTTGCCCCTCTTTTTCATTCCTATCTTTTAAAAATTTGGTTGGTATTTTGTCCCACCCAGGGGAGGGCTTTGGATAATCATCCTGTAGTATTGGTCAGCATGGTCTGTTTTGGAGTGTGGCCTAGATGACTTTTGATGATTGCTTTTGATGACTATAGGCTGTGGCACCTACTCCTTTCAAGATCTTTCTTTACTTCTAACCCCTCTGCCATTCTTCCTGGCCCACAACAGAGAGGAGGCCCCTTGCTGACATGCCTGTCATTTCTGGGTTTTCTTCTGCATCATGCCAAGAGACTGGAGTCCACATCACCATCTCCCCAGCATGCCACTTGACCGGAATCCTCCAGTAAGGCACGTGGCCAAGCCGTAAACCATTTTATATGTCCCAGGAATGATAGTCATTCACTGTTTTGAGAGTCTGTGCCTAGATCACAAACTTGTGAAGATTCTCCACAGTTCTTACCTTCAGCTTTACTCTCTTTTTATCCTTCCTTATTTGTCCCTGGGATTGTCATGACCCGGAAGTAAATTGTTCCTGAAGCTTTTCATTTTTCTGAAAGTCCGTATGGTTTTTCTGTTTTCTTTTCCTTTTTTTTTTTTTTTAAGATTTATTTATTTTACAAAAAAAAAAAGATTTATTTATTTTAGAGAGAAAGAGTGTGCGGGGGCGGGGGTGGGCAGAGGGAGAGAGAGAATCTCAGGCAGACAGATGACTCCCCCCTGAGCATAGAGCCTGACGTGGGACTAGATCCCACAACCCTGAGACCAAACCATGACCTGAGCCAAGAGTCAGACTCTTAACCAACTGAGTCACCCGGGTGCCCCATGAAAGTCAGTATGTTTCTAAGTTAAATATCATACCTTGTATTCACTGGTAATAACTAACGTGTGTGCTTCAGATGGAAGTCATGATTTCTGTTCAGAGAAAGGGCGTGGATTTGGTGGGGTGGGGATTGAGGAAGAGAGAGAGCCTATGAATGAAACAACATAGAAACAGTGAAAGGTTCTGATCCTTTGGGAGGAAGGAGAAAAATAACAAAACCCTGATGTACTATATTTTATCCTTTATGTTGGCTGAGAAATTAGGGTCAGGACCCAGAAACTTTGCTCTATCTCCTGGTGTTTGTTTCAGCTCAGGTGGGGTGGGCTTCTCCTTTGATGGGTCATTTCCTTTTCTCCTTTCACATTCCAAGCTGCATTAAGATGACAAATTTCACTTATAGGCTCAGGCACAGACATGAAAACTTGAGCTATGGAGTTAGCAGAGTGAGTGCAGGGGAGTGGATTTATTGTGGGGAGAAAGGGATCGTTTGAAGAGCACAAAAGATTTGGGGAGCCCAGCTCTGAATCAGAGCTCACAGAGGATGGCCCCTACCGTACCTGCCTCTCCCACTGACTGCGCTCTTAAGCCTCATCACTTGTCTCAAGGCTGAAGACAAATAAATGTTGAAGTAATTAAGACACTTCTTTCGAGCACACATATACCCCAGAATATGTTGCTCATAGACAAAATTTTATTTGGACATAACCTTGTAGTGGGTTTTGCAGAAAGATTGAGGGTAAAACGAGGAGAATAAAGGCCCTGTGTTCTTTTTCTATCTGTGAACTCTGAAGTAAATAGTTCACTTTTCCTACCCTGCCTTTAGTAAGGGGAAAAAAAAAAATCTTGGACGGCAAAGACCAAGTCCGTCACATCAAACATGACTGCGTTAAATACTAAAATGTTCAAAGTCCGACTGAGATAGATAAAGGCTTTGATGGAAAGTGGATATTTCCCAGGGACATTACAAGCAATAATCCAGATGTTATGGTGTAATGCAACGAGTGTCCGTGGATAGATCAGGAGCTCCAGCCAAGCCGCGCCTGATGTAGGCCTTAGCCTTGCCCTCCCATGCTGTTCCGCCATATGGAACCTATCTCTCGGCCCCCTTAATAACGAGCTTTGGATTCCATTTTCACAGAGCTCATAGAGCTAAGTGGGGCTGTTTTATGGACAAGTTAGATAGAAGCCTTTCCAAGATAAACATCCAATTTGAAATTAGGACATACCAAGCCACAAAATTATTTTAGGGCATATTTCATGGAAGTACTGCCATTTTTCTTAGGCAATTGCCAGACTGTAGGATGCCCTTTGATCCCTTGTGGACATTACTCCCTTCTTTATAAAAAGGATTTTGAAATAGTTGCAGTGTTTAGGGAGGAATATATCTGTCGGAGCTTTGAAGCATGGCCATGGGACAGGTCATGCCTTAGCTTGTTGGTTGGCAAGTCAAACTTTAAAAAGAAAAAAATTAAAAAAAAAGGAATTGTAGCAGGATATATGAATCCAAATCTCATTTTTCTTTTAAAGGTAGAAATTCTCAGCCCATATACCTAATAAGCTATAAAATGTATTCAGCGTATCCAGATCTATATGCTTACATATAGATTTATAAACACATATGCATATGTTTATATATGCGTCTATTTATATGCTGTGTTCTTTAATAAACTTGAAATTGCTTAACTTTATTTCATAAAGTTTCATTATTGAATATATTCTATCCACAAACGAACTGGAAACAGAAGTTAAGTAAGGATTGCCCATGTTCTCCAGAGGAGTGGGATTTTTTTTTCTTTTTAAAATCTCACGCACCCTCCCTGCTCTGTCTCAGCACCTCCAAAACTCGTGTGTGTGCATCCACGCACACACGCACACGCCTGCATTTTAAGAGAAAGGCAACACAGATGTGAGGTTTGAGAGTGTAGATTTCCTTAAATGTGTTTTGTTTAAGGCAGTCAGAGAATGACCAACCAAATGCTTGGTGTGGTATTGCTGCATCATTTTTAAAAGTGGTGGAGTGACATGTGTTGGATGAGGTAAGCTGGTATATAATTAATACGATACTGACATACCATTTGTTGTGATAAATTGTGACAAACCGGTGTCCGAGCAAATTGGTGTCTGAATGATCTCGAAGATATATTGAGTAGATGACAGGAATGAATATATAGTGTTAGAAATTCATTGCTTTACTGTGGTACTTGATGCCATTTACATTCTTCAGTCCATTTATTTCTCCTTCAAATAAAGCAGTCCATGCTTGTACCATTTCACGTTATTGAGCGGCGAACGTAAATGAACTCCGCCAACTAAATGCAGCGTGTGGATCATGTGGGGATCCTCATTCAGACAAACTAAGCATAAAAAAGACATGGTTCAGACCTTCAGGGAAATGTGGATATGTGCTGGGTATTTAATGATATTAAGGGAATTATGGTTACTTTTGCGGAGTGTTGTGATCATGGCATGGTGCTTATGGAAAAACAAATACAGATTTTTGCTTTCAAATATTTCAGCCAGAGAAAAATAGTGAAGGGATTCATGAAATCAGATTGGCAAAATGTTGAAGCAGATGAATAAGTACGTGGAGATTTATATACCACTCTCTCTGCCTTTGTGTATGTTTGAAAATTTACATAAAGAAAATTAAAAATAAAGTGTGCTTGTCCTCTTTATAATTTAATAATAGGGGATGTTTGCTTTTTTCTATATTCTGTTTAAGGTGTGTGTGAGTGTGCATGAGTAATATAATTTAGAAAAGGAAAAAAAAAGTAAGTTAACAGTTACTGAATCTGTACTGGATCCCAGGCACTGTGCTAAGTGCTTTCTACATCCTTCCCTTCCCTGTACATCTGCAAAGCTCATTTGGCTGGCTAGCTGATTGCAGGCTGGATCTGGAGTTGTGAATCTCACAGTTGTGTTGGGCTTTTTAGTAGTAGCCCAAGGAATACAGGGAAGTGTGGACAGATTCAAGTGTGAAGGATAAATTCAAAACCATTATTTCTGAATACCCAGAGGAATTTTGTTTCCCTGCAAAACAGTGCCTTGCTCTTCTCTCTCTGTTTCCCAGAATGCCCTTCTTCCCTTCCTACTATTAAAATAGCTGAAGGCCCTGATGAAGAATTCCTACCAAGGAGCACATCTGGGTGGGAGTATAGGCCAGTGCCAAATCCAAGTGTTGCTCCCAATCATCCTTCACTATATTCTTACAAGTCCAGTGCTCGAGAAGGAAATCACATAACTGTGCTTGCAGGTTTGCAAAATCAATGAAGACTAATAACACTTTCACCAGTCAGGGAGTGCTATTCATAATCCCATATTGAAAGCTGGAATTCCTGTGATCACCAAAGTCACACTCAAGAATTATCAGCAAGTTTATATGTCATCTTCTTTGCTTTAGTCCTCTTTGATACGTAACCTGCGGCTCTCAGAGTCCTTGAGAAAGAACCAACTCTGGAACGGGATTATAAGTATAACGTTGTTGGAAGGGAAGAATGTCTCAGGAGGAAGCATGACAGAGATGTTTGTCCAGTTAAAACTGGGAGATCAGAGGTATAAAAGTAAGGTAAGTTCTGTCAATTCCTTAAGAAGTAGAAGATCTTTCATAATAAAGGAACTAAAAAAAATGTTTTCCACTCTGAATTTCACAAGAAGAGGAGAAATTTATTTTTAGCCCTCATAACTTTATTAGGAGCATTCCAGACAACAAAATAATTGTATAGCTGCAGTCAATTAATATACCTATTGGGTTGCTTAAAATAATTTATTTTAATATAGTAACTGGAACTAGAGAAAGCTTATTAAATAACAGATTTGGATGCATGATTTATTTTTGTTTTAAAAATAAGCAAACATTATTTTCAAAGATTGCAGGAAAGGTATAATTAAATATTTTCAAAATCCTACAAAAATAAAATCGCGTAATGTATTATATTTGGGTGAAAACAGTCGAGATAACAAAAAATATTTTCAAAATCATATACTCTTTGCTTTCTCTTACTTGTTAGTATTAACACCAAAAATAGACATTTGATGCTGGTTGTTGTGATTTTTTTTTTTAAACTGAAGTATTAGTGATTTGTTTTGAACAAAAGTAATGGCTTTTTTAGCTGCCTTTAAAACTCAATCACCTTACTCTCCTGAAACAAATTCCACTTAATTTTTAATCTTAGTAATTTGGTGTGGTTTTTATTTCAAAAACCATAGTCTCCAAACCATGGTAATGAATTAGTTTTGCATAACTGTCAGACAGGAATATTTCCTAGGTTTTATGGATTGGGGGAACTCGGGTACTTGAAAGTTGTCACTTGCCAAAAGCCACGTAGAAAAAAACAAACAAAACAAAACATTGGTGGAAGATTTTGAACATAGACCCGAGGATATTTGCAATTTGGACTTTACAGTGTAGAGGACATGACACATGCAAAGACCAATGCACTTGGGAAATGATTTAGGGAGCAAGAGGTTTCTCTGTTGCACGCTCTTCAGTGCAAAATCAAACATTAAATATCACTTACTCCACCACAGGGAGTAAAGAATTGAAGCTCACACCAGAGAATCATTTTTGAGAAATGTGAAAAATTCTGGGTGAGTTACAGCAGAATTGGGCAGATGATTATTTTAATCAGGTAGTTTCAGGCTGTACCTGACAGCGTATGTATCCAGGGTGAACACATCTCTCCACTAAGATTCCTTTAGCCAGCCCAGGGTCAGGCTAAGGATTTATAGAAAAATTATTCATCGCTAAGTACACTTTGCCCTTTGGACTAAGGTGGAGTGCAGAATTAGTCCAGTATTTGCTATAGTCCCCCTTGGGGAATATCACATTAAATTTGTGGTCAGATATTTTTTTTTCCCGTGGTTTCTAAATTCTGTGATCTGATATGTTAAGCTCAATGTGAGAAAGAGCTTAAATGATATTACATGATGTTGGCTACAGCCGATGTCTGAGTTGTCCCCATTTTCCCTTGCAGGAATAGTTTGGCGCTTGGATTTAATAGTTGACTCAGTGCTTCTAGAGCCTGATAGTCCGTGCCCAGCATTCTTGCTCCATTTTATTCACAAATTCAGTCTCTGGGTAAACGAAACAAAAGCAAAAAATGCTGCTAACAGATCAAACACATAAGCTGTTTGCAGTCACTGGGAGAACACAGAAACACTTGTGGAGTTTTCAAACCAGGCTGTTTACTTTTTTAGTGTGGCTAGTGGGGCTTCTCCATCTTTCTCTCAAGTGCCTGGATTCAGTGAACTCAGATGTTAAAAACAGGCAGCAATGTCCCAGTGACAGATTTTTCATGCAATATATAGGACAGATGTGAGTGAACACCTCAGCCTGCTAATTTATATACTTCTTAAGCCAGCGCTGAATGGATGTGCTAATAAAACTGTTACTTACTTGCATTCGATTAACCAATGAGGAGTATCTTTTGTAAGGGAGAGCAACTGTAACTGTCTATTGAGATATGTTTTATATGTCTATAATATATATATAATTTATGGTTCTTTGTGGGATAATTCTGGTGGGGTCACTCTTGCTAATGGGCTGGATAAATTCTTGAATCTGCGGGTGAGCTAGACGGGTAGCGATGGTTTGCCAATTCCCGAAACCTCAAAGTCCCTTTCGTTCCAAAACAGAAAGTTTAACTTTCTAAGGGAGAGGCACATCGTCACGATCTCCTGCCGTGTAGAAATGAAATGAATGTCTGTAGCTGCTGTAGCAATGAATGGCATTTTAAGAAAATAAATATTATAACTGCATGTTTTCTAGACACTGTGTAAGAGTGCAAATCCGCAGTGGCGGGAACAGTTTGACTTTCACTACTTCTCTGACAGGATGGGCATTTTGGACATTGAAGTGTGGGGAAAGGACAGCAGAAAGCACGAGGAGCGTCTGGGCACGTGAGTTTGCTCTGCTTTCTAACTCATGGGAGATGTGTGTGGAGCTTGTTTCTGCATGAGGCTGGTCAGAGAGAATGTCATGATCTGTTTGGGCTTAGAGTAAAACCTCACATCCCCACCCCAGCAGCCATAAGTAAGCTGGACCCTAACCTGGGGAAAAATCTTGTTTTGTTTTAACTGGTAAATGTCACTTCGTATCGATTAAAACAGAAGAAAATAGAATGTGTCGGGAATTCTTTAAAAAACGTTACTGTGCCATCTCAGGCTGTTTAGGAAATGTTTATGCACGGGTCAGTCCACTTATACACAACTTTTTTCCCCAATAAATGCAGTACAATAATGTAAATGTATTTTCTCTTCCTTATGATTTTTTTTTTTTAAGTAACAGGTTCTTTTCCCTAGCGAACTTTATTGTGAGAATACAGATAACCTACGAAATATGTGTTAACTGTTTATATTATCAGTAGGGCTTCTGGTCAACAGAAGAGGGCTATATAGTAGTTGAGTTTGGGGGGAGTGAAAAGTTATGCACAGGTTTTGGACTGTGCTGGGGCATCAGCACCTCTGACCCCTGCACTGTTCAGTAATCAACTATGTAAATTTCCAATGTACCGTATAATTTTGGTTTTGCTGCTTAGTAAAATACCGTATAATTTAGTAAGAAGATGAAGCTAGGTGTCTCAAAATGGTGGGAAAATTTTCAGTGTCCTTGATGAGCTTTGTGGCAAACCATAATGAAATCTATTGAGGCGAGATCTATTTCCTTTCATTTCTTTACTCTGCACCCTCCCAACTTAATTGAGGGGCTTACCCATACGTAATGAGCAAAACCATGAATGTTATAGGTTCCTTATTGTAGCAATACCATTAAGTGAGATTGTGCCTGCACCCTGGCTGGCCCTTGGGAAGTACCATGGAAATGGTGGTGGAAAGATCATCTCTGATCTTACAGATAGCCCTGCAAGTTAGTAGCATTATTCCTATTCTGTGGAGGAGGGAATAGAGTGCAAGAGGCTTACAATTCACTTGGCCATGGACTTCAGAGCAGTGAATGCCAGGGCTAGGATTCTGTGTTTTCCGAGACCAATTTCTTTCCATCAAATCACTGCCTTTTGTTCATCGCATATACATACAATTTGTATCCAAATCTTAAATCTAGGATACAAGCATTCAAAGGGCTCTCAACAGCTGTTTGACATCTTTTCCAAACCAGAGTCTCTGGAACCCTGGATTCAGAGAGATGCCTGGGGCTCACCACTTGGAGAAAAAGGGGGAGGGTTCTGTTAAAACCTCTATCCTGAGGCCAGAGCATCTCAACTTTTACTTCTCTTCTATATTGGGGTTCTAATTGAGGGAAAGTCTTATTGCCGAAAGCTGAAAATTGAAAATGACTCCTCTAATAGAAACCCGTTGATTCACTGACAAGGGAATGCAGAGGCCCAGAGCAGTGAATGTTTTTCCATCAGCAGGGAACTTACAGGCAGAAATGGGGCGAGACCCAGCTAACCCAGTACTTCGTGCACTGCTTTTTCTGGGTAAAATACTGAGCACAGTGTCTGGCACACAGACTGTTAGCTCTTCTTGCCGTCATCATCCCATCCCTCACCAGCAGCTCTCCTGGGATACATAAGTGGGGAGTTTGGTACCCATGGAACATTCCTGCCATGTTTTTCCACGGACGCACCATGTTCCGTGGGACTGTCTGGCATGTTGCAGGATGTTTAGTAAATCTGGCTCTTACCCACCTGATACCTGTTGCTTTCCCCAGTTGGTGTGTGGGAAATATACACAAGACACATCGCATTCCATCACGCATATCCAGACACCCCCTTGGGGAACAGCATGCCACCAGTTGAGACCTTGGCTCTTCAGCCTCCGTGTGGCATAGCCCTGGTTGTATCCCTTTGTGCAGCCCTCTAGTCCCCAATGCTGTGCTTATCCCACAGGTGGCGGTCATTGCTTCATCGACAACCCCATTGGCCAGGTTGGTGCTTTGGAATAGCAAACGAGGTCATGTCACACCCTCCAGCTTTTGCAGGAGGTGGCCCCCTAGTCATCTCGCAGATGACTTTAGCCTGGTCTCGTATCTCCCTCCTGCGTCTACACAGTGTAACTGAGACACTTCAGACATTTCTCGGGACCTCTGACACTTGTCATCGCTGTGACATACCAGTGCCCTGCCAACACCCATGGCAGGAGGATCAGAAACTTTGTGCTAGCTCATGCAGCCGAGGATGAGTTCTGTAAATGCACAAACGCAGAGAACTCTGTGTCCCAAAGCGTTATCTGAGTGGTGGGGATTTGGGCTTCCAGTGATGAATGGCCAATGTGTTATTTTAGGAGGTGCAAAGAATAATACCCTTCCCATTTCACACATCACTGTGCTGTCCCGTTTCCTTACATAATAGGAAATGCTTTTCCAGATGAGTGTTAAGTTTCTTCACAGCCACAAAAAATAATTTAAGATGTCCCTTCTCTTCCATGTGTTGTCATCGGAGTATGCATTTATTTTACTTATTTCCTATTTGTAACTTAGACGTGTACCTGTCCCAGGGGTCATGATGTCCTTCCTGTTCATGGATTTTAAAGGAGCTTTTTGGTATGCTTTCCTTTTTCCTCTCCTGAGGTACAAAAGATAACAAAAGCATCTCTTGTGAGCTGGCTACACAGCACTACCTTGCAGTGGGGTGAAACCTACCCTAAAAATACATACTGCTTCTCAGAGTTAAAGATGAGGTGGTGTCAGCATATGTTGAAACTCACCGACCTGTTACATACTGTTCCTTCCCACTTCAAATTTCTCACTTATTTTCTCATTTCATTTTCTTTGGTGTTATAATTTTAAGGCTCGGTTATTTTATCCACCCGTGGTTGGGAAATACCTTTTTGCATGAGGAAACTCTCCGACAGTGTGCATGAGTCATAATTGTTTCCTAAGACATGTTGCATATTTTGTTTTTGGAGAACACCTTGATGCTAGTCATTTAAAGCCCTACATGGCCTCTCTCAGAAAATTCTCATCAGTGAAGCTTCCCTTTGCAGGCAGATTGACATGAGGAAGGGAGCACCAGCTTGGAGTTGCACATTCAGGGCTTGCTGAACCACAGAGTTTGTTAGCTATGTGACCTCGGGCAATGGATTTGTTTGTGAAATCCATTCTGTGGGGTCCGGTCAGCAACAGTGTCTACATGATACCTAGGTCTTTTATCAGCACTTAAATGCTAGATATTATTATTACTATTAATTTTGAGATTGTTCTGTATGACAACTGTAGATCCCCACAACGTTTGCAACTAAAATTATGCAATTTAAGAAAAAGAAATATGGCTAGTAAAATTAGTGTGTGTGTGTGTGTGTGTGTATATATATATTATATATGTATATAATATATATATAGTGTATATATATTGCATATATATATATTTGTATATATTGCATATATGTATATTTTTCAAAACAGTATAGACGTTTTTTTGAAATTTTTTGCAGAAGTTGGCAGTGAATATCTTCAAGGACATGGTGCAAAAAACGTTTGTTGACTAAAGGATTGAGCAGCGGCAATGGCATTGCTGGGGTGCTAGCTTGGTGATAGAGATGATAAGCCAAGGTCTCAACTGGTGGCATGCTGTTCCCCAAGGGGGTGTCTGGATATGTGTCTCCTGAGTCACATGGAGCTTTCTGAAATCTTGTGTCATGGTTCCCCTGTTGTCTTCCACTGAGCCACAAGTTATTCCCAGGGGGGTCAAGGCTGGTCCCCAGATCCAGCATCCCATGGACCATAGTGCCTATGAACTCTAGTGTTTATTCATGAGCAAAACCAAATCAAAACGAAAACAGAAAAATTACCAAAAAAACCCAGTCTCTGATTTTAAAATACATCAATGGTCCAGAGACAGTGAACTTTTCAGGGGAGTAAGAAATAAAGCTAAGTTGAACCTGCTCCAACTTTTAAACAAAACGTCAAGAGTTATAAATATAGATTATCCCCTTGTAAACCTGGGCCATTTCAACACAATTGTATTGTTTTCTTAAAGCCTATTTTACATTTCAAAGTGATTTTAGAGATTAACTCGTTATAGAATATTCTAGGCTTTAGTTTTGAAAAGTTACTAATGAGAAAGTTCGAGTCCATTTTAACTGGGCTACCACAGAATCAACCTGCAGTCCCACATGGTGCCCTGGAAAGTGGCTCTGACATTCTCCCAGTTTATTAGCAACTCTGATGTGGTGGAGAAGCGAGGCTGGGATAGTTCTCTGGACAAATTGCACCGCATGTCGTCGATCTGCTTTTACAACCCGGCTTGACACATTCACCGTTTTCTTCGTGTTCACCCCCTTCCTTCACCTCCGAGATTTACAGCTTTTAAAACTACAGCACTCTTTTCTGCCCCTCGCATTTAAGTTAAAAGCTGGTCAGTCTGTAATATAAAACAGGGAATTATGGTAATGAATAAGAGGTTAAAAGCTATCATGGCAAGTGAAACTTGAGCAGGTTTGGGTGACTGATATGGCAAAATTATGTGTTGAATTAAAACATTAAAATGCAGCGGGATTAATGGAGAAAGACAAGAACAGGAGGTCAGAAACAATGCTTAAATCAGCACATTCACTGCCTGTAGGCTAGAGAGGATAGCTTTACTATATGCCTGTAGGAGAAAAAAAAGTAGTAATTAAGTCCTTGTCTTCTTTAGGTGAAGAGAACTGTGGACTTTTCAATCTGGGAGGCACCTAGTGAATATATTTATTTCCATTCCTTTCTTATGTGGGGGAGGAATTAGAGAGTGCACAGTATTTAGATGGTTAACAAAAAACACTTGCCTTTGTCATTTGGAGTTTTTGACTTTGAGCTTCATTATGCCACTGGCCTTCATTTTTTGTTTGTTCACTCTATTCAAGAAATACAGAGCACGTCATGTACTGGATACTGCAAAGATTCAGCAGAAAATGACAGTGATGGACGCTATCCTCAGACACTAAAAAGTTTGGGGCTGCTTCAAGTT